GCGGTATCCAATACATCTTTGTTTCTTATGATGTTCAGAATCCTCTAAAAAGACTGTTTACTAACTCTTTTTGTTGGGGATAACGTATGCATGCCAGGAATATAGATCTAAAACAACAGACAGCATCCCTACCTCACCACCAAGCTTCCTATCGTATCTGAACAGACTCAAATTAATCAGAGGAACACACACACATGCAAAAATGGCTGATCCTTTCACTTTTAAGATTTATTAATGAGTTTTTAAACTCAGCTTACCACTTTTATAAAAGACTCATTTGCCACAAAATTCTCCAAACTAGGCTATCAAAAGGATGCAGACACTATTCTGCAATAATAGACCAGAAAGGCTACCACAAATTGAGTTCTATAAAACTCTTCTATATGTGCTTATGCATACATATGTATTTTCTGTTTCTTTCTGAATTTAAGCTGAGATGTTGGCAAGTTATTTGCTCTTTAGGAATCCATTTGGTAGTTCTCACCTGAAGTCATAATGGTATTGTGACATTATGAACATTTCTATAGTAACCAATGGAGGTGTCAGAAAATTATAACTTAAAGCAATATACTACAAGGTGCGGATGAGCTGTCATGTTGTCATTCCAGATTTCTAGTAATAAAAACAGGACATTGAAAAACATTTTGGTTGGACAGTATAAAGTTTTCCAGGAGCTAAGTGGCTCTTTAAAATTCTATGCAATCGATGTTGGAAATACACAATTTGTTTTGGTAAAAGTCTTACATGCTAAAGCACCCTTGCCCTTTTGAAACGTATTTTGTAGAGACTCTTGCACCACCAGAGGCCACTGGAGGAGAGAAAAGCGCACAGGTGATGTAGCACACGGCCTGAGGACCCCTGCAGAGAGGTAGTTACCTCTCATCATTAGGAGAGCCCAAAGTTCAGAGAAGGGAGAGAATAGCATGGCTGAGGGGCAGGAGAAGTGGCTACCAATGCTGATGCAAACACTTCCCAAAAAGATAGCGGGGAAGTCTGGCTATCTGTGGGGGGAAGTCTGACTCTCTGTGAAGTCTCAGAGTAGCAGCCGTTTTAGTCTGTATCCGTAAAAAGAGAAGGAGTACTTGTGGTACAAGTACTCCGGAGTACTTGTGGTACAAGTACTCCTTTTCTTTTTTCTGTGAAGTCTGATACCTTAAGGGGTATACAAAGAAGGGGAAAAAGAAAAAAAAACACTCAGAAGAGTCACTTCACTACACAGACTCATGGCATTCCCCTTCTCCATCCTCCCTCCTTTCTGAGGAAAGAGGGACATAGATCTACTTCCCCCAGCAAAGGCAGCAGTTCTCTGGGGCTACCATAATTCTCCAGTCCTCAGTTGGTAGGTACAAAAATGCTGGCAGATGCCACAAACCCTCCAAATGGCCCTCACAATCATCTCCCTTTCAATGCCCCTCATTCCAGCACACCTCACTAACCCTGCTTTCTTTAAGAACAAAAAAGATACTGACCGCCAAAAACGTTGTTAGCACAGAGTTAGGTTACCTTTCACTGCCCTGTACCGTTCCAGAATGTGCAGAGCGGCTACACTTAAACCTCTGAAATACAGAGTTAAGGTAATGCCTGCTACACTACACTCCCATGGTACTACCTTAACTCTGCCCTGAGGGGATGACAAAGGACACTTAACATAGATGAATTTTCGTGCTCACCACAACTCCACTTCATTACTCTTAATTAGACCCCCACACACACTTCTCAGGAAACTAGGTCTTACAGTATTGATTCAGGGAGTACTTGCAGCTGGTTAGCATAGCACAGGGATCAGCAACCTTTGGAACGCAGCCCACCAGGGTAAGTCCCATGGCAAGCCTGCTGGTTTGTTTACCTACCGCATCTGAGGATTCGACCGATCCCACTGGCCGCGGTTCACCGCTCCAGGCCAATGGGGGCTGCGGGAAGTGGCGCAGGCTGAGGGCTTAGAGCAGCAAACCGCGGCCAGTGGGAGCCACGATCGGCCGAACCTGTGGACGCAGCAGGTAAACAAACCAGCCCGGCCCACCAGGGATTACCCTGGCGGGCCGTGTGCCAAAGATTGCCATGCCAGGGATTGGCACTTACTCTCACCTGCACAGGTCACAACATCCACTAGCCATGTCAAAAGGAACAAGCAACATAATGATGGGGCGAACTATTCTAACAATCCCTTGCACAATCTCTGTGCCCACTAGAATGCCTTATCTGTACTGGCATTCACATACTGCCATACATCCTCCCTATCTTCTGTGCTCCCCCATTGCTCCTAGGAATACTAGGGATGTTGGCACACACCACCCTGCACCACAAAGTTTACTGAGCTAAGAGGATGGCCCTGAAGCATTCCTTAAGGCAAAGATGAATGAGTTTTAACAATTTATGCACTCTAAAGAGTTTTTCCCATCGATCCCTTGATAAAGGTACTGGCCCGGGATCTTTCATAGAGACTCCCAGACATTGTTCAAAGGAACCAGAGTCGAGGTTGCCTGTGAAGCATTACCTTACCTTTGTATTTCCTGGCTTTCAGAGTTTAGTGCCCTTCGCACTCTGGAAGGGCGCAAGGCAACCCCAGAAGCAACCTTAACTTTGCGTTAATTAAGTCTTTTTGACAGTGGAATTTAATTGATCTACAGTTTTGCTGACTATACTCTGCTTACAACTGAAAGATATCAGTTGGTTTTTATTGGTCATATAAAGTCCATATCCAAGATGATTTTAGTTATGAATGTAAACCATTCATAAGAATTAATTATTGCAAAATGTGTGTGGATTAACACAAAAATATACCTCATGCTCATAAAGAGGCTTACATAGTGAAAACATGCAGACTGGCATCAATATGCAAGAATCTCATCTGGTACTACTTCCAACAGATTTATTTCCAAGTCTTGCCATTTTTGTGGCAATAAAATCATTTTAATTTCAGTCATATACCAGAACAATTAGATGTTCTGAAAGTCTAGAGACTAATAATTTTAACTAGAGGATTAATAACCAAAATGCAGAGAGTGATCTGCTACGGAGGAACCACAATGAGAATCTATGAATTATACCAATGTTAAGAACTTGATGAAAAAAATGTGTATAAGTGATGGGAAAATACCAGCACAGTAGGCAGCACTGAAGATTTTTCAAGAGACTAAGAATAAAATTTCACCACCACACAAAGTGAAAACTCCTTCTCATGACAGGACTGAACACTGTCAGCATTGCTGGTTTGCAATCCACATCATTTCCACAGAAAATATAACCTTAAATCAGAGAGGCAAGTAGTACTCCAAGGTATCTTAGCAATGACAATGTGTCATTATTAATCTGTATTTGTGCAAAATTATAGCTCCTCAAAAGAAATACTTAATACATTTATATACACAAATGTATCTTAGATTTTCATCTGTTTGCCTTACATCTGACTTGTAGCCAGAGACACAAGAAAAATTTTGCAGTATGATTTACTTTGAAATTCTGCTTTGTTACAAACTCCCACCTGATCGACTTCCAACCCCCAATATTCCTTTACTGCTTAAGATTTCTTTAAGAAAATTATGTGAAAACAACTTTCACATTAGCTACTAACTGCCCCTTCTAAAATTCCCAAGCTCTTTTTGTTGACCGCACTCTCTCTCTGAAGCATTTTCAGGGAGAAAAGCAATGGAGTGCATCAGCCAAGAACATTGAAGTAGTCTGGACTCCTGCCTTATATTATACAGTACTAAATCACAGGCTCCTGAACAGAGGAAAAGGAAAGGGGCGTGTGTGTAAGTTTTCTTGGTTTTTAGTAGGAGACAGGTGTAACAGTAACAAACCCTAAGTTTACCACGAGTCAATAATTGATTCAAACCCTTACTTCAGCTGGGCTTTGTTTTAATCAGAGGTGATTCTCTTTTTCTAGAAACAGACCAGTTAGCAAAACTGTTGGAGGAATTGGCATAGAAATGTTCCCACCACTACAGAAGGATCAACATCTAATTCTCTTAGACCTTGCCTTCACTAGGAAACTTCATAGTTGGATTCGCCTGTGATTCAGCTTCATCAATGGTAAAAATGGTAGAAGCTGTAGTGCAGACAGGAGTCAGGCACCTGACTATTTAGGGTACTGAACAAAGACAGATGAAAGATTCTAGTCTCAACATTGAAAAGTGCTGAACCAAGATTTTACTCCTTAAAGCAAACCTATAAAAGACAACTCACTAAAGTGAAATTCCCAAAAGAATGATTTAAAAACCCTAAATGAAGATAATGGAAAACATCACTAAATATCTTAATCCTGACATTTAAGACAAGATGCAATATTGCACTTACACAAACAATGATAACAATAATGAACTACCCCACTCCCATAACAAAGTAGTCTACATCTAAGTATATTCAAGTGATTAAAGATTCATGTTCTGGACGGGGTGGGGAAGAAGGGGGACCTGTTCCAACCAGCTTTGGAAACGTCAACCCCCATTATGTTAATAACATAGTAGCCTGAATTTAGAACCAAAAGCAGACCAGGAGAGATGGAGTGGCTTTGATCAGTGGTCCTCATTTCTGTATTTAAGCACCTGTTGCAATAGGAGAACTCTGTTGTTAAAGACTCTGGAAACTAGTAATACCTTAAACGTTTAAGTAGGTAAAGCAAAAGACAATAGAGTGGATAGATGTGCCACAACCGGGTTTAGTAAATTTCATCCCTAATAATAGCATAACGGAGCTTAGGTCTACACAAACCTGTTGCAAAAAAACAAAAACAAAAAAAAAAAAAACAGCGGCTTTGGAAACTTCGCTTTAGATAAAAGCCAACAGGGAGTCCGCTGGTACCTTAAAGACTAACAGATTTTTGGGGGCATGAGTGAGTGTTTTACCCATGAAAGCTTATGCCTAAATAAATCTGTTAGTCTTTAAGGTGCCACGGGACTCCCTGTCGTTTTTGTGGATACAGACTAACACAGCTACCCTGATATTTCATTTTAGATCGAACAGTAGCTCCGCGATAGATCTCAGGACACCTCAGTACTTACCGCAGGAGCCAGCCGCCAGCCGATACCCCTCCCTCTTTTTAGGAGGGCGAGAGGGGTTGGATTTTGCCACGCGCAGGAGGAACCTGAGCGCCTTCTCTCGGACGCAGCACCCACGGCTCTGCCTCAGCGCAACTCCCCGCTCACACCCTGCGGCCAGGTACCCTTCACCACCCCCGAGAGCAGGGAGAGGGATTGAAACGCGGATACATTCACTGGCTTCCCACAGACACGCCCCAGCGGAGCCAGGACGGGGGCACGGGCGGCTGCGGCTGCTTGCCCAGGCTGCACAGTGAGGGGCCAGGCAGCCCCAGGCGCTACCCCCTCGGACCCGGCTGGCGGCTGTAAACACGCCGCGGGAGCCGCTTTGTTGCCTTCTCAAGGCAGCGCACGTGGAGAGGCGGCGCCCGCAGCGCGCGCCGCCCCGGGGAGAACGCTGCAGCCGCGCCCGCCCCGGCCGCTGCCCTAGGAATGGCCAGCGCGGGTGGGGAGTGGGCGGTGCCCGCTCGCGGTTGGCGGCCGGGGGTGTCTGTCCGGTGCGGCTCGTCGTGGAACGCCGGGCGGTGCAGGCGAGCGGGGGGGGTTAGCGGCGCTGAGAGTGGGTCCGGGCAGCTGCGGGGATTCTGTCCCGCTGCGCTCGCTGAGGCGGGGCGCCCGGGGGCGCTGCACGTGCGAAGTGTGGCCACGGTGTAACCCCCCGGCCCACCTGTGCCGCGCCCAGCACCCCCGCAGCAGCCCTTCTTCGCCGTCTCTGCCCCAGCAGCACCGAGCCTCTGTCCTCCTGCCAAGCCCTTAGCAGAGTAACCGCCTCCCTGCCCCGAGTTAAACCACTCACCCCTCTTCCACACACACACACACACGATTAGCACCTCCTCGCTGCCCATTAAACCTGGCTCCTCTTCCCAGCCTCAGCAGCTCCCTCTTCCTTCAGCGTGTGTGGCATTAGGGTGACAAGGCATACTGATGTTATTGGGACCCTCTGATATTAGAGGATTTGTCTTACATATGCAACTATACCACTGCCCTTCCTCCTCCCCCACCTCGGAAAAAAAAAGTGTCCTGATTTTTCACACTTGCTATCTGATCACCCTATGTGGGACAAACAGCCAGATGGACTGTCTATGGGACAGGGGTTGACTTTCAGCCCTGAGTGCAAACTGGAATGGGGGTACAGATCGGGGTGGTGTAGAGAAGGCCTAGTGAGAATAGAGGCGTGAGTCTGTGTGGGCCAAAGATAAGAGACAGTTGTGGGGGGATGGGGAATATTTGTCTAACTTCTAGGTTTTGGAGAATTTCTCAAGCTTGTCTCAAAAATCTCCAGCATTTTAGCAGTGGGTGGAGAGGATGCAAAGCTCAGAAGAGCAGGCTGGATTCAAACCTGAGAAATCCTGTGTAGATCAGGTATTCACACTAAGGACTGTCATAATGTATGGAATAGCAAGCATGGGCAGCATGTTGCATAGGCTGGGGGAGGCTGTGCCTCCCCAAACAGCCAGGCGTGGCCCCGCCTCCTGCTTACCACTGCTCCCTGCATGCAGCTCCAGGCCTCCAGCCACCAGTGCTCTGGCTGGGGCTGGGGCCGCACCATCCTAGCGCTCCGGGAGGCTGGGGTTGTACATGGGGGGGTTGCGGCAGCATGCTGCCCGCCCTACCGGCGCTCCTTTGGGGCTTGGGGGTTATCCTGGGGCCGGACTGGGCCAGTGGCCGCAGCTGGGGGGGCCTCTGGGCTCTAGTAGGGGGGCGGAAGGGGCGAGGCTGGGGGCTAGTCTCCCCCAGCCAGCAGTTCACATGTGCCCATGATGGCAAGCTCCTCTCATCTTCAAGTACACTGATTTTCTGAATGGATTTGACAGCCTGCACAGACATACATAGTGGCATATTCTTCAGTCCTACAGAATCTCAGGTAAAGTTGTTAACATCATTAAAGCCATGACAAAGATGTGAATGAAGCACTCTGTAAGGGAAACCACCAGAGTGCTTCTATGTGAACACCGGCATGAAACAAGGCTGCATTTTATTTCTATTGTTGTTTGGCATTGCCATAGACTGGATAATAAAAAAGTGTATTAGCAACAAAAATAGTGGTGTAGCAAGGGTAGGTGGCAAATGCCTAGAAGACCTAGACTTTGCTGATGATATTGTGTTACTAACACCCCAAAAAATAGCAGACAGACAACCTAGTGAAAACAGCAGGCCAAGCAGGACTCAGAATTAGTTATTCTAAAACATACATCCATGAAACCCAGACATAAAGCAGTAACATAACTTTAAAGGCAAAAATATCAAGAAAATAGAAGAGTTCATCTACCTGGGCAGCACCATACTGACCAATGGACACCTCAAGAAGAATGTGACATCAAGAACAGGAAAGGCATCCACAGCATTTACTAAACAACATACAGAAATCAAAGATATACAGCACCAGAACAAAACTGAGAATTTTCACTTCAAATGTAATCTTGGTGCTAATATACAGCTGTGAGGTAAGGAAATCTACCAAAAAGTTAGAAAACTACACAGCTTCAGAAATAGATGCCTATGAAAGATTCTGAGCATTGGTTGGAAAGACTTAGTCACCAGTGAAGAGATCTGAGAAATCACCAACCAACAGCTCATTTCCACCAGAATCAGAAGGAAGCACTAGACATGTTTGGGGCATGTATTCTGGATGCCAGCACACAGACTCCCGCATGAAGCTGTCTAGTGGCAATCAACTGGTGTGAGGAAATGAGGGTGCCCAATAGAAACCTTAAGAAGATTTCGTAGCAGGGAGGATAGAACAATGGATCTCAACACCGTAGAGCAGATGGAAGCAGTAGCAAATGACAGAGAGGAATGGAAGAGACCAGTTTCCATCCTGTGTGCCACCACTGGCATAGGAAGGATGTAATAAAATAAATAAATAAACAGAGGGGGCACGAACCATGAAGGAGGAGGTGTGCGTGTGTCCAGGTTTTAACCACGGGTTCCAAAATGGTGTTGAATACAGCTTGTCTTTGGTCTTGTCTGCGCCAGGGGTGCTGGAACAATTTGTATAGTGAAGGTGCTGAGAGCCATTGAACCAAACTGTAAACCCTGGATATAATAGAATCCACTTCAAATCAGGGGGTGCGGCAGCACCGCCATCATCCCTAGTTCCAGCACCTATGGTCTGCGCTGGGGATTTTCCCCAATTCCAGCCAAAATTACATCTTTTCTTGTTTATACTTGAGGTATGCACTATCACAGCTACACTGCTGGCTGCAATCAAGGCAAATCCCAATGTGGACAAGGCCTTTCTGTACTTTTGCAGCTAAACCATGTACTGCAGCAGGTCAGCTATACCCAGGATCAACAAGGGGTCCTTTTTTCTACTGCGGACCAAAGTAATCACTCCAGATTTTCAGTTTACAAGTAATAGATTTCTTTTTTAAACTATCAGCCCAACAAACTAAGCCTGACCTCTGAGAGTCATTCTGTGTGTTCTTTCTTTATTGCTAGTACGAAAGTTTATGTAGATGATACGTAACACAGAACGGAATCTAGGTCACACTCCTGTAGCAAGGCTGGTCCTGCAATACTGATAGGAATAAAAAATATTTTATTCTAAAATAAGTAGATATTATTTATACAGTGCCAAATATGTGTGGCCCTTTATTGACACTAGAAGATATGGTTGCTGCCATGAAGATCTTACAACTTAGGAAGCAGTTTATCCACAAAACACTGTTGAAAAAGAAGGATGCTATTTTTTGAGCCATTTTATAGTTCCCCTTCCCTCTTTTTTGTATATTTTGCTGTGGTTTGCATTTTAATTTGGTAAATAATTACAATATACTATTTACATTATTTCAAATTTTGATATTTCGTGTGACTTCCTCTCTCTCGGCCTTGGAATTTCATGAGTAAATCACTGGTTAATCATATCAGATACCCATACACCTTGAAAAAGGAGTGTAGTCTAGTGGGTTGAGCACAGAATGGAGTAGGCAGAGCCTCCAGAATTCTAACCTCTGGTTCTGATACAGACTCTCTTTGGGCAAATTCCTTAATCTTTATTCTGCCTCACTTTATTCCTCTGAGAAACTGGGGATGACAGTACCTCTGAAGGGTATTGTGAGGCATAATTACCATACTTAATATATATACAGTGTTTTATAAGTGCTAAGCATTAGATCTTGGTGGAGAAGGTCAGCCTCTCTATTCAGGAAGGCAGGCTGACACTTTCCTTGATGGAAACACAGACTTCTGCTCAAAAAAGATATTTTTTGACATGCTTGGTCTCCCTAAGTATCAACTGGTCTGGGATGTCCCCTTTTTGGGGAAAAAGGCCAAGTAGGTTGTGGTGAGACAATTCTGCAATCCTCAGATTTCCTTCACTCTAGCCAATCTTGTTTCGTGCCCAGGTATGATTGGAAACTTCACTGCTTGCATTAACTGAAAATCTGCTCCTGGTGGTGGATGGAAGTTAGATGCCCCAGCCCCATGCTGATTCTTTTAGGTTTGTCAGTTTTCATTGAACTTGTTAATCATATGACTTGGATAACATGTTTGCAGTCCCTAAAAGAGGTTTGTGGAGCTGCCTTGATGTGCTGGTTCAGACCTTTTTGTCTAAAATATCCCAAAGGGGTGTGATGGACGGTGGTTCAGGTATCCTGAGAGCTTTCTTATGCAGCAATTCCATCTGTTCAACACAGAACCCCTTCTGTTCAACACATCTATGAGGCTGTTAGGAGAGTCACTGAAGAAGTATGAGCCGTGGTATCCTCAGTACGTAGATGATACCCAGCTTTATATCCCCATCTTATCCAATCCAGCTGGTACAGTAGAGTGCTTTACCTGGTGCCTGAATGAGACTGGGTTCTGGCTGAAATCCAGCTGAACGAACATCAGCCAGGAGAAAACAAATAATATTCATAAGTCAGTGGAAAGAACTGGAAGAATTGGCAGTGACTTTATAAGCCCCTTTACAGATATGCCTGCCTCTTAAGACTCAGATTTGTAACCTAGGGGTTTTGGAGGAGCCATAGGGTCCTAGATCAGGGGTGGGCAAACTACGGCCTGCGGGCCGGATCCGGTTACTCAGGGCTTTGGATCTGGCCTGCGGGATTGCCACCCCCGTGGCACCGCGGGCCCTGCGCTGCTCCCAAAACCGCCCAGGACCAAGTCCCTGCGGACCCTGGGGGCTGGGAGGGGGCAGAGGGCTCCGCGCACTGCCCTTGCCTGTGGGTACCTCCCCCGAAGCTCCCATTGGCCGGGAACGGGGAACTGCGGCCAATGAGAGCTTCGGGGGAGGTACTCACAGGTGCGCGGAGCCCTCTGAGCTCCCTCCCCCAAGGGCCGCAGAGACGTGGTGCCGGCCATTTCCCAGAGCAGCGTGGGGCTGGCAGGGAGCCTGCCAT